GATTATAATATCTTTCGATTCACTGTTTCTGGGCAGCCATTCGAACGAGGGCGGCTTCCCGTTTTTCGTCTAGCAATTCGAGGCTTGTTTTCATAGCCTCGTGATTTGATTCTTCCGTTGTGCATCGAAACCTGACACTTGGTTCCCCAACTTCGACCGGGATCAGAGCTTCGATGCCATATACTAAGGGGAATGGCGTTGCCCCTGTACTGGATTTTGTCATTATTTCTCTTCATTTCCCCTTAGCATCGTTCAACATTTTCTTTAAGTTTTGAATGATGATCTTGTTCATTGATTCGGCCTGCCCGTTCCCACTAGGATGATATTGCATCTATAATATCCTTTTTATTTTGTGATCTTCGAGGAACTTCGTCATTTTGCTATCGATAAATTATTTTCCATTGTCACACACTATCTCGGCAGGTATCCCGAATCGGCATACGATATGATCCCAGATGAAGTCTATAACTTCTTTCTCTCTGGCTTTCTCAAAAGCCTGTGCTTCAACTCATTTAGAGAAATAGTCAGTCATAAATAAAATGAATTTAGCTTTACTTGGGGTCGATGGCAGAGGACCAACTATGTCCACCCCTTATTTCATGAATGTCCACGGGGATAAGACTGAATGAAGTTGCTCTCCGGGTTGGTGGATCATCGGCACATGCCTTTGGCATTTGTCACATTTTCGAGCGAACTCATTAGTATCTTTTTCCATACTGTCCCAATAATACCCTGCTCTGATAATATTGTGAACCAGTGATTTGGCACTGGAATGGTTCCCATAAGTGCCCTCGTGAATTTCTCGTAGGACATAGTCGGCGTCTCCCGGACCCAAGCATATTGCCAACGGCCCATCGAACATCCTTCTACACAATGTTCCATCTTCGGCCAATGTAAATCGTGTATCTTTCGTTCGTAGAGTCATCGATTCTTTAGAGTCCGATGGAAGTTTTCCATTCTTCAGATAATCAATATATTTGTTCCTCCAATCCCAAGTTAGGCTTGTGGAGTTTATTTCAGTGTGGCCTTCTCCGACCATCGATTTTGAAAGTTGTACGATAGCCCCCAAGCTAATTTCATCATCTTCAACTAATGACCCTAAGTTTGCATGGGCATCGGCCTCACCATTCTGTTCTCGAGGTACATGCTGTGTGGTCCATTATTTGAACCGGCATAAGGTTACCTGCATTTTATCCAAGTACCTCTGCATTCGATCTTCTCGGACCTCGAAGGTTTTGTTGACCTGGTTAACCACGAGCTGGGAATCACACTTGGCCTCGATGATCTCAGCTCCTAAACTTTTAGCCAGTTCGAGACCTGCAATCGTGGCCTTATACTCGGCCTCATTGTTAATTAACTTAGGGGTTTTGATAGATTGTCTTATCGTATTGCCTGTGGGTGGCTTCAAAACGATGCCTAGACCGGACCCCTTGTGATTGTGACTATGGTGAGTTTAAATGTCGGACCCTGAAGGACATCGACCCCACCGACGATCATATGAATCACGTGTTGTTGTTCCTCCTGTTCATTTTTCCTATTTGCATCCCTGTCTTTGAAGTGATATTTTGCTTGGTCACTTAAGAATTCTCGAAGATGACCTTCGTTGAATAAACGAGCTACCTCCTCCCTTAATTATCTGTAGTCCTTGGTTATGTGACCATGGGTTCCATGGTACTTGCATATTTAATTCGGATTCCTTTGAGCTGGATCGGTTTGTAGGGGTCTGGGCCACCTAGTACCCTTGATTCGTCCAATGGCTGACACAATACTTGAAGCATCGATGCTGAAGTTGTATTCCAATACTCGTGGTGCTTCCTTAGTCTCGACGTGTTTATCGAAGCCATTCTTACTCATGAGCCCTCGAGAATTTTGACCTCGATCATTTCGAATGGGATTACGTCCCGGTCCATTGTTTCTTCGATCTGTAGTTGGTATTGATCTCTGTTCGATCGGGGCTCTATGTCGATGTCTCTTTGAATCCTGCCTTCGGATCTGTTTGGGTAAACATAATCGGATGGGGCTCCCAACTAATCATCCTCGACTTTGATCTTTGATTGGTATCGATTATGCACATCGGCCCAGGTCACCGCTGGATATTCAATCAAATTCTGCTTTAGTTAACGGGATGCTATCGATCTTCGCTCGTTCAAAGCCCAAGTAAAGGCTTGGACAGCCCAATCATCGGTAATCGGGAGTAGGTCCATGCATTCCATCTGAAATCGAGATACGAATTCCCTTAGCATTTCATTGTTCTTTTGTCTTACTTTGAAAAGGTTGGACTTCCTGGTCGCAACCTTTATGCTCTGGCGTGTGCCTTTATGAACGAATTGGCGAGCATGGTGAAAGAATCGATGGAATTGGGCAGCAAATTGTGGTACCATATCATTTCCCCCTTCGATAAAGTTTCTCCAAAAAATTTCAACAAAAAGGATTCTATCTCATCATCTTCTAAGTCATTTCCCTTTATTCCGCATGTGTACGAAGTGATGTGTTCATTAGGATTGGTGGTCCCATTGTACTTGGGGATGTCCGGCATACGGAACTTCTTAAGAATGGGTTTCGGAGCCGCAGTTTGAGGAAAAGGCTTCTGCACGAACTTCTTTGAATCCAAACCCTTTATGATCAGGGGTGCCCCCGGTATTTGATTAACTTGTGAGTTGTACGTTTCTACCTTTTATCATTAGCCTCGATCTTCTTCTCTCCTGATTCAATCCGTTTAGTGAGCTCCTCGAGCATCTTTATGATGGCGGGATCAGTTCCCGATCCATTATCATTCAATTTCTCCTGTACGGGTTCGACCCTATGAGCAACTTCCTGTGACATATCGAGTTCGATTCTGCTTGGGGCTCGATTCTGATTTTGAAGTTGCGCTATCGCGGCTTGCTAAGTTTGTAGCATGCCAAATACCATTCGAAGGCTAATTCCGCATTCTTCACCATTTTGCGCATTCTGATCTGCTATCCGGGCGTCTATGCGGATGCTATTTTTAGGGTCGGCGCTAAATCTCCACGAATGGCGACACGAGAATTGACATCTACCGGATCTACGGCCTGTAGTGCGTCGGGATTGATTGGAGGCACTCCGTTTCCCGGGGCGACTATGTGCTCGTTTTCGCCATGAAAACCAAGGCCAGTATCAGTGTGAGTGGGTACTGCTTGAGAGTTCGACATGTTGATTCCTGAAATCAAAAATACTCACAAGAACAAGCGTAAAAGCAGTGTGCATTATGACGGTTAAAATATTAAGCAATCACTATTATTCTTAGCCCCACGGTGGGCGCCAAATTGTTACCCTAAAAATCGAGTAACAATAAAACTTGTAATGTGGTTTTAAGGATACATAATTTCACTTAATACCAATTGATTAACTTAGAGATAAATGATGGGAATTGACAAGAATGTAAAACAAACCAATGCTTGGACAATGCCCTTGAGCTGATGAACCCTCGAGAGTAGTGAAGTAAGAACAGTTAAAGAGCAGTAAGTTGATGAGCAGAAGAAAGATTATATTGTCTTGATATTCGTGAATGTAAGGTGTTTACAGATGATGGGGATCCCCTTTATATACTAGAGGAATCCTAATTATAGTGCAATTCTAATTACAGAAGTAAATCTCATGATTGGTACAAATAACCGCCCTTGATTTGATCTGTTCCGACGCCGTGATCTTCAACCAATTATGGATATCTCGCCTTTCCGTTATTGTACTTCAGTCGAAATCGGTCATACTTAATCTCGATTGTTGATGGCCTCGGTCTCAACGGACACTTCGATCTTTAGACTCGATATTTCGTCTTCGAGCTCGGGTCTGATTCATTACGAAGCTACCCCGATGCAACTCCCTTATCTTGATCAAATAGTAAAATCGAGGGGGGGGGGGCGATTTTGACCGTATACACTAATCACATGGAAGTCGTATGATTATCAGTTTAATAGTAAAAAAAATTTATGTCTGTTTTAGTTTTTTTTTTTTTTACTATAGTTTCTAATTGTAACTCCTCAAAAAGATAGTACAAAAAATATTCGATATCAACCTAATACTCTCTTTGTCTTATTTTATTCGACATTACTTTTGGAGAGTCAAATACATGTATACTAAAAAAAATCAAAATACTTTTGAATAATCAAATCATGATTGAGAATTAGATAATTTAACCCTTATATATGAAGTACGAGATTTTTTTCCCAAAGATGGAGCGTGCAAATTGTTCAACTCTCCCTAGATTTTGTTTCAACTCCACCATTAAAATGTAAGTATTTTAAAATTACTCCAATTAAATGCGACAAAACAAAAAAGTAAAAAAGGAAAGCAACAGTTCGCTGTTGCAGTTCCAATCACGAAGTTACAAAGACTGCAGCAATTCAAATTCTAAGAACAGGGAAACAAAGACCTAGAAAGACCAGACCTAGAAAGACCACTGTATGGAGTCAACCAAGACGCGTGCGCCATTTTGGCTTGGCGTAGCCTGGACGGAACGCTGTCTTTTGTCGGTCACATTATTCAATGCTAATGCTTCTTTTGTCCTCTCTTACAATACACACACCTTTCAAATTTTATGTACTTTCTTTCTCATTTAATTCGGAATCAACCATCAATATTTCAATTCTTAATTAGGCAATGGCACGTAAACAATATCGACTCCGCTACATTACATACACAATCAACCACTCATTCATAAACCCCCACCACATTACATACACAATCAACTACTCAAAACAATAATAAATCAAGTCACTCCTTTATATTCAAGTCCGTTTTATTAGTGCGTACATGTTTGTGCGGGTCCAATGAATTAATTTAAGACAATACATCGTATAGTGATTCCACTTTATTCGAGTCTGATTCGTTAGCGCGCATGAGCACCTCCACCTAATTCAAATGTGAATATCATACTAAGCATGGCCACCGACATTCACAATGAGCAGATGGCTTACAGTACAGAAAAATAGAATGGAGGATTTTTTGAAAGCCATTCTTCTTTCGCCAAATACACCTCAGCCAATGCGACTGCAATGAGTAGAATTTTTAATATTTGTGCACACAACATACTCATTAGTCATTACGGAAATCAACATCAAACTAACATACACAATGGTACAAAGACATTATACATCTGCAGGTTGTAAAGCTACAAATTCCAGATGACAACGTGACCTACAGACAACATAAACAACTTCTAAACTAGCTTCTTGCTTGGAAGGTTTTCTTTTTCTTTTTCTTTTCGGGGTGATGAAATCTTGCTTGGAAGTTTTCTCCTCAAGATCGAGACCTCTCACGTGGCGGCGGTGAACGACTGCATTGGTAAAGATCATAACAAAATTAGTGTAATTGAAACCTTAGGACTATGAAAACAGCATGAATAAACCAACACAACCTACAAGACCTTCGGGGTTGGGGTGAGACGAAAGAATGAAAACAGAAAAGATTGTGAAGGGACCTGTGATATCTCTCATTGACAGGGCTTTCCGCTCGACGATATTCAGGACTTCCCCTGGTGCGAGGCCTTGAGTTTAGAAGTGCTCCATGCCCATAGTCAGGACTACCCCTATCCCTTCTATATGGGCTAGGCGAACGCCGACGGTCATAACCTCTCCTGCCAGGTGACATGTCACGGCCTCTTCTGTCAGGACTGCGACCATTTCTCTTGTCATCATCGTCTCGAATCGCAAATTCTACAGAAATAACTCGATCCATGAACTTGCTGTCAATTTAATCAAAAACCTCAAATTAGTAAAAATAAGACGCCATACAGTTTGAGTCATTTAAAATGAATTATAGTGTAAAACTGCAGCAGCCACGAAAAAGAGAAATGTAGTAATGGCATTAGGACAGCTTCAAGGCGTGTGCAACAAAAGGGCAGCGAGAATGAAAAGAAAGAGGCACCAGTGTAGTTCAATGGTTGAAGAAGTGGAAGACCATGAGAGACCAAAATTCAAATCCAACAGGGGTAAAAAGTTTAGGTGATTTTTTCAAATTTGCCTAAGCCTTGGTGGATAGAGTTACCCGGCATCGGTACTGGTGGATCCAGGTACCCTGCGGAATAGTCGAGCTGCCACAAGCTAATCCAAACACTACCTTAATCCCAAAGAAAAGAGAGTGGAAAGAAAGAGGATGATGAGAAAGGAGAAACAGAAAAAGAAAAAAAAAAGAGAAGAAAAAAGCTGCTTGTCTACTGATTTTCAATAATATCTCCCTAGATGGAAAAGAATATCTGCAGTTCAACTCCAGAAATAATTATCATCCCCATAGTGAAGGAAAAATTGACCCTTCAACATTTTGTGCATACACCGAGTCATTTCCCTGTCGAATTCACAGAGGTTAATTATGGTCATGTGAAATGGAGCACTCACTTAGCACGAGTAATCAAATTATCCAGCAACAATGATATGTATGATTCTAGCTATAAGAAAGTAAAGCAGAATACTCAAAAAAGGTCCTTTTAAACTGCTAACCTCATGTTTGTCGCTTCTAATGCTCTGCTAGCATCATCCTCAGATTCATACTGAACAAACGCGAAATTCCTTCTGATTCGAACATTTGATATTCTACCATAAGGCTCAAAATACCTCTCTATGTCCCTTGTCCGAGTATGAACTGGATCAAAGTTGATGACAAATAAAGTCTTGCAAGGTTTAGTATTTGCAGCAGGTTTCCTGGAGCTTTCAGGCCTCCTACTACCACCACGATCCTCCTGCAACATAATCTTAGTCAGGTCAGTTCCGCATATAACATCAAAGGGAAGTGCATATTTCCACACCAAACTGATGCTATAAATACTCTCTGCCAGGGTGCTGCAACTCCGCAATTCAACATCATACCTTAGTCCATTCTACACGAAGCCTGCGTCCTTTTTTACCAAACTCTATCCTGTCAAGTCTTCTAATTGCATCATCAGCATCACGCTCGTCCTCCATATAAATGAAAGCAAATCCTACAAAACCAAAAGCGCCATGAAATCAAACCAAAAAAATTCAGTAACATTTTTCATACATAAAGCTCAGTTAAGATGCCTCCTGCCAATATATGTCAGCACACTGCGACTAGATCAAACTTACCACCCAAAACCCCTCATGATTGAGGGGGGAAGGGGGGAAGGGGAAAGAAAAATCTGTATGAAGGAACTCAACAGCAGCCACTGGATCCGAGATGATCATGCTATCTATGTTGAAACATTTCAGGTATTGAGGACTGAGCAAGGTCATGAGGAATGCAAAAGGCAATGGTCTCAGTAAATTGTAGGATGGTAGAACCATGGCAGATCACATTTGTTCTTTCAGATAAACATAAGAGTATGTATCTTTGGCACAAGCCAAAAAAGAAACGCAGAGAACCCTTCATCCAGGAAGATCTAGGAATTCCAAGTATCCTGCGCGAAAGAAAATACTGAGATTGGGAGTTCAACTACACATTAACTTGTTTTTTCTCCAGATAAAACAAATTAGAGGGATAATTTCCATCAAGCAGAAAGAAGACAACAACTGCATCTTTATTTGATGCAATTCAATAAACATAAGTCATTTATCAGGAAAAGGAACCAAAGAACTTAACTTCCGTGGGAAAATACACACACACATATATATAGTGCAGAGAACTTAAAAAAGAAAAGAATAGATTCATTTTAAAAGTTAGCCGAGAACTTCTCTGCATAATCGTGGACTAGTCCTTCATCAGACATGATAGGCATCATGGAAACAAATGTTAACACACAGTTTACCTTAACGGCTTAACCCTTTCGGTTTCTATCTCTAAGAGATTACTTCCTTTCAAAGAATAACAAGAAAACAAATTAAGTCAAGAGAATGGTAGGTTTACCAGATTTCATATCCACCCTATCAACCTTCCCATATCTTCTGAAAAGCCGCTCAACATCTGACTGGCGAGCTTCAAACTCCAGATTGCCACAAAATATGGCCCTCATGTCAGGCAATTTTCCCCCTTCAGTGAAACAGATAGTGTAAGACAACTACTCGAGCGAAAGAGATATATGGAAAGCCATACATAATTCCTTTAACATGCAACAAAAACTCACGACATTTTACGTGTTAAGTCTTTCCTTATCCCTTTCCAGTAATAAACTCAGCCAAGTTATGCATTCACCACGTCGACAGAATTCAAATCAATAAAGCTACTATGACTACCTAGAATTCAGTTGCAAATATTGTACACTATACCATTCTTCAAACTATAAAGACACCAAACACTAACACTTTCAAGTTATCGAATTATATTTAATCAGTTTGATTGATGCTGTCGTTGAACTAATCAATTTCTTAATTATCGCTTTCTCTTATACTCCCTTGTTACCACTCTATATGAAACTTTTTTATTTAGCGATAGCTAAGATATCTCCCACTTTCAGTCTGGAAGATCCCCCAAATTAAGAAGCAAAAGAATTAAAGCAAAAAGGAAAAAATCACGAAACACTCTTTAACAGTGTTCAAAAAATAAAGTTACAAAATGCATGAAATTCATAGGCAGCAAAATGTAAGGGATCTGTGATATAAACGAACAGAAATGGAAATATTACCTGAAAATGGAACCTTTGCTTATTGGTGAAATTTAAAATTTTGCTCAAAAATAATGATCTGAAGATAGATAAAAATAAAAGGAAATTAATAAGCAAAGAGATCTAACCAAATTGTACTGCAAACTCCCCAATAAACCGAGAGAAGAGATTCGAAAAATCGTACCTTTGAAGCTTTTTTTTTCGCAGCCAAAGTAAAGGTAACTCGATTAGATTACGAGATTTTAGATCAATAGGGAAGCAAGATGTCAAACGACGTCGTCGGCTTGTTGAATTACGGGGTTCTTTCTTTATTTGGTCTGGGCTGCGCATAAGCTCATTCCTTCATGAATATTTATGTATATAAGAAATCCCGTGCACTACTACACTTTGAGACTGCTTGGCTAAGCTTATAAGCGGGTCAAACTGGCTTATAAATATTTTTTGGCTTATTTATGTGTTTGGTAAAATTAAAAGTGCTTATAAGTTAAGTGCTTATAAGTCAAAAATAAGCCAAAAGCCATAAGTTGGTCTCCCCCAACTTATCAAATTTCAACTTGTAAGCACTTTAAGTTTGACCAAAATATTTACTATTCTATCCCTAAAATACTTCTTTTTAAAACAAAACTCTTTGTATACCTAGTTCTTCAGCGACTTATTATTAATTTCAACACTTTTAACCAAACACGTAACTGCTTATTTTTTAAATCAGCTTCAACACTTAAAAGTGCTTTTCGGCACCTAATGCTTATCAGCTATTCTAAATCAGCTAAGCCAAACGGGCTCTACGTATATATTTACATGGATATTTATGTATTTCTTTTGGTGAAAATAGATTTGAGTATTGGTATATTACAAAATAGATTGTCACTATACAAAAACTATATAAAATAAATATCATTATACAAGAAATAGACAAAATAGACATTTTAGGATATTGGATGTAACATGTTAGGGTCGGAGGGCCATTTAGTGTCAATGGATAAAAATATGGGCTATTAAAATTTTGAGGGGCTATACAGGGTCATTTTCTCTGGAGAAATTCAAAAATAACCAGATTTACAACTGGTCGTTCAAAAATAACCCAATTTCAAAAGTAATCGAAATTTAGCCATTTTTTATGTAAAGATAAATCTGAGCGAAAACACTGTTCAAAACCCGGAAAATACGCCGGTATATTATGCTAGTGTTCCAGCATAAGTATACTTGAACTCCACCATATTATATTGGAGTTCCAAGATAAGTATGCTGGAACTCCAACATAATATGATGAAGTTCCAGCATAAGTACACTAGAACTCCAGCATAATATACTGGAGTTCCAGCAAGTATATCGGTCCAGCATAATATACTGGAGCTTGTAGCACCGGTGCTCCAGTCTCCAGTATATTATACTGGAGCCAGCAAAGTATACCGGTCCAGCATAATATGCTGGAGTTCATACACAGGTGCACCGAACTCCAGTATATTATGCTGGACCGGTCTCTGTTGCAGCAAAATAGTGACTATTTTTCATTGACTTGGTAAACGCTGGCTATTTTTGAATGACCAGTCCGAAAACTGGCTATACTGTGCTATTTTTACCATTTTCTCTTCCTTCATCCTAATTTTTTCCGTCGTGCTCGAGGATCACGGCCCAATGTAGCCCATTGTTGTTGGGTAGTTTTGGTGGTCACTTTCAAACCTAGACTATACTAGTTTTTTCATTAACGATAAATAGGTAATTAGAAGAATTGGTATAAAAAACTCAATATAAGTGAGGCAAGTATAGTAATATCATAAACCATAACGGATATTAGTGCCACAAAGCAAAACATGGAGAAGGTCTTACACCAAAATAGCATTTGGCATAAAAATTGGCGTAAGGTTGGAGATGGTTTAAAATGTGTTGCTCTTTTTAATTTGTTGTATGCTTTGGTCTTAAAACGAAAAGGGACTTGCAATGGCACTTTTTCCATTTCCATGGAATGAATACACTTTATGACATCGAATCTACCTGAAAACATGAGCATTTCATATTTTTCACGATTAAATATAATTTATCTAAATCTTGTACCACAGTTTGTGTTTTTTTTTAAAAAAAAAAAAGAGGAGTGGGATAGAAAGAGGAAGCAGAAGAAGAAGCAAGAATTTATGTTCGTTGGAATGGGATAGAACGAAAAACTATTTAAGTAGTTAAAGATTTAGTTGATTCCATTCTAGTGTCACTAGAGGAAAGAAATATTGAACAACCCTTGGATTTATATTCGTTTCCTATTTTTTGAAAAAACTTTATCATTGAGCAGTGACTAATTATAACAATATAAACGATTTTTTTCTACTAAAAATGCGTTTTATTAGTTTCTGACTGCACAGGTATTGGTAACCAATATTTTTACTTTACCCTAGATGTGATCAACGGTAGAGAAAATTTCACATTAGAACAACTGTTGGAATATATACTATTAACCATGAGTTTGATTTAGATATAGTATTTATTACGAAATAATTGTTTATTCAGTTTTGATAAAGTTTTAAATAGATCATATATTAGTCTGTGTCCTTTGCTTATATAGTAGATGATTTAGTGTATAGAGTTTAGCTTATATATGGAAGATTAAATCATCGGTTCTTATAAGTATAAAGTTTGAGTTCACAATCTAATGATGGAATTGGACAAACCATCAGGAATGATTGTAGCACAAGATTAAATATAATTTATCTTGATTATGGGAATGGTTTAATTCCAACTTCTTGTGCTAATACATTTTGTATGTATTGAACGGACCAGGTAGAGATAAGTATTTTATACTGATTTAATAAAATAAACTCTCTAGCCATTAAATGTACTTATACTCTTAATCTTGATATAATTATTATTAGCTGTGTATATTATTATTGTTTTAATTTATTAAAAGGCGAGATTCTTTCGTGGGTCAATATGCCTGGTAAATTGGATAATAATAATNATGGAATCCATGTCTCGGTTTAGAGATTGATGATACACCTTTATGAAAGCTTATAAGTTTTCATGTGTAAACCCGGCCGGTGGATTTTGTATCCGACACATGAAATAAGTTAAGCGAAAGTCTAAAGGAAATAATCAATAAATTAAATCGTCAGTAATTTAATTTACTTGATTAGTATCTGAATCTTAATATGGGGAGTTAAATAAGAATGGATGAATTTCGAAATTGGATAAAGAGTGCAATTACGGATTTTTAGTGGAATAATCCGTAATTAATTATGGTAGATATTAATTTCGAAAATTAGAAATTAATTCCATAATTGAAGCCTTGTTAATTAAATTATGTGGTCCCTACTGTGTCTAAATAATTGGAAATAAAGGAATCATTTTTCTGGTGGAAAAGAAAACCCAACATGTTTTGGAAAAGGGTCTTAACCCTTAAAACTTGTGCTATAAATACATAAGTTTTTCCACCTAGAAGGAGCAGTACATGGTGGCTGAAATTTTCAGCCAAGTTTTCCTAGAAATTTCACCCACACGAAATTTCTATTTCCGGTATTATTTGGGTAACACAGTAGAAGACCGTGGAACGTTCGAGGATCACGATTGTGCGGGTGATGGAGATTTCATTGAGAAGTTATGGAACTGAAGGCTCGCGTGATAGAAGAGATATGTTCACGCTTCAAGAGGTAACTCGTGAAACCCCGTATATACTAGTTGTCTAGATTACATGTGATTTTGATACTGGGATTGCTTCCGCTGCTTATTATAATCCATCAACAACTACGCTCTATACTTTTCAATTTTATAGACTATATTTCAATTTACAACCAATTAGCCCAAAAATAATAGACTAAGTTTCAATATCCAACTCCAACAGGTTCTCAAAACTACTATTTAATTTTAAAAAAAGATTCCTCAAGTTTTTAAATTAATTTTCAAATCAGTAATTGTGACTCAAATATTAAACAAACTAAGTTTATTTGGGTAGTGAAAATTAGATTTTTAACAAACTTAAATATGTGGGTTTAAATTTCGAATTTAATTTTGTGAGAAATTTAGAGTGGATATTATTTAGACTTGTTAGAAATAGTATAAGGAAGTTGTATATAAAATTTGAAGTCATTTAATGGAGATTTGGACTGGTTTTGAACAAGAATTGCAACTGAAATCGTGGAAGAAGATTGTCTACAGACGCTTGTATAAAGGTGTATAATAGTGTATAAGGCGTGTTTCTACATTCATATACACTATTATACAAGATTATACATAATTATACAAAAAACTGACTTCGTCTTCTTTCTTGCGTCTTTTCTGAAATTTAACTCAAATCTACTCCAAATCACTTCAAATTTAAATTTTGAACTCCTTTTGATATTTTCGATCAATTGGAACAACACCTAATCCAAACAACTAACAAATTCAAAAAAACTTATTTTCAAAAGCAAAGCTTTGAATGATCTTTAATAGTGGACTTCTACTCTTCAATTTTCTTACATTGCAAGCAGGTGACACAAGAGGAGAAGTAGAAAATACACGGCCCCTTGAAGCATATGTAGAAGATGTGAGAAAAAGAGAGCGTGAAAGCAATGTTTGCGAGAACACAAATTTAACTCCATAGCTTTTAGAAGCAATGGTTGTAAATAGGGGTGTACAAAGGAAACCGACAAACCGCACCAACCCGGTAATTCGAGTCAAATCGAGAAAAAAAATCCGACTATGGTTTGGTGTTGGAAAAAAAACCCCGACCATAATTGGTTTGGTTTGGTTTTAACTAAAGAAAGTCAAACCGAAACCAANCTTTAGCATTTAGTAATGTAATTAATACTCCCTTATTAGTCTATTTATTTTGGCATGACTTAGTACTTTTAGATTATATTTATTTTTATTATGGCCTTTTAATTAGCAATATTTATATTACATAATTTTATTGTCTTTATTGTTGAATATTTTAGAATAATGCCATGACACATCTCATATTTTGTATTATTTTCTTGGAAAATACTTTATATAGTTGTATCTTACTAGAATTAAAGAAATATTTTGAGCATACGTTATATGTTTTGTTATACGAAGATTTTATCGGAAAAAAATTCAAAAAACCCGAATAACCCGAAAACCCGAGAAAACTTGAGAAAAATCGAGATTGAAACCCGAGTTTTATTGGTTTGGTTTGATCTTTAGATTTAATAATCTGACACAATTGGTTTGGTTTGGTAATTGTAAAATCCGAACCAACTCGACCTATGTACACCCCTAGTTTTAAAAACACAAATTTTGAATTTGCTAATGCTTCCAAAATATGTATAATATGGGTTAGGTAAGGTAAAACTTAAAAACATACGCCATTTTGTGTTATGGTGTGAAGTCATGTGCATTTTCTTGTAATTCTACAAGAGGGGGGAATATTTAATTAATCAAGACTTATGATATTCCAACAAAATGGTGCTCTAAAAGAATAGCATAAATCACCTATCCAATTTAGAGGCGGCTCAATTGTATTGGAGGCCTAAAGCCAAGTCATAATAAGATGTCTTAAATTTGTTTAATAATTTTAGATATTTTTTGTTGAAGTTTATTAGGGTATTATCACTTTTAGCTCGTGCCAGAAACTATTTATATTTGGTAGCCGAAAAAGTATATAAAACTTGTATATTTTTTTTATATAATATACAGAATGTATATATATACAAAAAAATATAGAAATTTTATACATTTTCGGTTGCTATTTTTACAGCGGCTATACAATGTCATTTTTTCAAGTTTATTCTTTTTTATTTTTTGAGATGTAAATTCATCTTGATGATGTAACTAACCCCTTTAGTTTTTGTTGAAATATTACTAACATTTGATAAGATTTTATTAAGTTTAGTTTTGATTTTTTTTCCCACATGACCGTCAACATAACTCACTATATAGCATTGCCTCTCAAAGTAACAATCATTTGGAAAATTGTATTTACAAAGATGATAAATAAATTAACTATAGCTTTTTACTATCTAATTAGCTTCCAGCGTGCTACATAGATCTTGAAAGAAAATATCCTACAAAGTTAGAGTTGTAAATAAAATTCATTCTAGTTGGAGTAAGAAGAACTAGAAAGTAACTGCAGATTTAATTGCCTTGCACTTTTATTTAAATTTTCTCAACCAACTCCAAGAAAGGACAACACAAAATATGAAACTATGTTATTAACAATTGGTGACAAGGTAGCACACGATGGTTGAAAAAAATTTCTTATCACTATTTAATCATAAAAACAATAAATATTTAAATTACATATAAAAAAAGTAATTTTTGGGGCTCTAATTTTGTGAGGCCTAAAGCGGCCGCTTTAGTGGCATGGGTTAAGCCACCTCTCATCCAACCTTCCAAAGTGCAAGGAAAGAGCCAAGACGGTATTTTTAACTCTACTTTCTAAGTCCTTTTCCTTAATATAAGAATTAAGGGCCTGCATTTTAGCATTTCTTGAATTAGTTATCTCATTATTAATACTTGCTAAATTTTGTCTCTAGCTACTAGCTTATGAAAAATGTTATAAATGTCATTCCATCTGCAACATGCCAACATCTAAATCGATTTAATTATTGTTTAAGTGCAAATCAAAGTCCCATGTAGGCAAAATTTAATAAGAATTGCATGCCAGGCCAACTTGATCCCCCGACGTGGTCCGTATATCAACAAAACATCAAACTTTCATCATCAAACTTGAATGGAGGGACTAAAATGTATATTGACCATTTTCGTCATCTTCGAGTAATTAATCATATGGTATTACTGAATACCCAATTACAAGTCAACGTTTCTTTGTATTAATGAGGTTAATTATTCAATTTAAGCACAATACTATATGACTTCCAAATAATTTGAGGAAACGAGCCTCGTCAATTAAGTGAGGAGACATTAACTAAGATGAACTTTGAAGGACTAAGAAAGACAAACAATTTGTGAATTGTTTGTAAAAGGTTTCGCGCCACTTCAAAATTTTTGGTTAAACATTTAGCTTTTTAGCATATAAATGTCGTATCAGTTGCCCTATCTGTGATGTCGCCAAAACGAGATAAAATTGATTTTAAATAGACATACGCTGGATTTTTTAGAAATGAAAACTTATTAAAATCCACAGTTGTTATACTTTAGACAGAATCTCACATCGGCAAAACACAAAGGGGATGCTGGATATATAGGTTAACAAGTCTTAAACCCTAGTGACGCGTTTTAAATTCGTGAGGGTTTAGGCTCAGAACGGACAATATCACTTGCGAGCTGGACTGTTGCAGATGGTATCCAACTGAATTTAGGCAAATCCCGCCGCCGGGGCAATACGGTGGGGCAAAAACCTCAGCGAGCTGGGCAGACAACACATGCAAATGAAAGAAAACATTACACTTAATGAAAACTTAATATGAAAGAAGTTACTATAGTGTATGTAAATTAACTGCAAGTCATTATTATCCACCTTCAAAATACAAGGGTTTTTGTTATTGCAAAAAAAAAAAAAAAAAAAAAACCTTTTAAATATTAGCAAAAGTTAGATTTTCTGTAGCGAGAAAGAAACTGAAAATAGTACTAATTTTTTCTTAGAAGAAAACTACTCTTACCAAATTTCGAACATACGCGTAACCCAAGCATTTTCTTTGATGATCTTATTCATGGGGTTCCTTTTTTTTTTCCTTCTAATTTCTTCACTGTACAAACTTTCAAATTAAAACTACGTCACTAGAAAACAGTAAAGCTATTTTGTTCGCTTCTCCCCCTTAGAAAAGAAAGACTGCTGCAGGGAATCTCTTAAAGATCCAACCCTTGATTATATTAGTCTAAAAATACATCAAACAAAAAGAAAAGAAAATCAAACCTCTAACTAGTAACTATCACCACGTAAGGGAGATTCACTAAAAGTAGGAGGAACAATTACAGAAGAAGAAACCTTAAACCTCTTGCTTCTTGATCCTTCATTACTGCTACTGCTACTGCTTCCACCACTCATAATATCTGGACTACTAACCCACCCAGCCATTGGATCTGATCCAAGAAAATATTCACTTGCAACTGATCCATTATCTGAGTCCAGCCCAAGTTGTCTAAAAGCAGTCCATTCACTGCTACAATCAGACACACTTGAATTTTCCCAAGATGATAGATCATTATTATTGTTATTATCAGTTACATGTGGAAGTACTCTAATACTTGGCTGCACAACTTTCTCTATTTTTTTCATGTCCATATGATGACTTTGGTATTGGTGATAATTGTTCTTGAAGTGGAAAATTCTAGCAAATGTGAAATGGTCACTTACTCTACTCTTGGATGATGACTTATTTTCTGAGTTCCTAGCCATGATGCTGTGTAAATTCTTGCTTAGTTTAGCTTTTAACGAAGAAAAACTGAGACCATGTTTGCTATCATTTGATTGCAACATATTTATTGATTGATCATGATCTGAGTTGGAATTTGAGAGAGTAGAAGCAAAATTTGTTCGTGCATTTTCCCCACGTAAGGCTCGAGCAGCTTCATCATAGGCACGAGCAGCTTCTTCAGGAGTATCATATGTTCCTAGCCATAATCTCACACGTTGAGATGAGTCCTTGATCTCAGCAACCCATCTTCCGGATGGTCTTTGTCTTACACCCACAAATTTTCTTGAAATTGATTTGTTTAGGTGTGATGATGATTTGGTGGTGTTGGTGGTGGTGGTGGTTTTCGTTGTTTCTGTACCAGCCATTATGGGAAAGTTACAAAACAGTATAGATGGCAATGAGAAGAAAGTATACTTCTATAATGAGTAGTATTGTCAATATGGACTATAAATAAGGGCGCTTTAAAGAACTATTCTGGGCAAGGGCAATACCTAAGGATTGATCTAATTGTCAATTAAATAGTTAAATAATGAGAGATCAATGTTCAAATTCTAATACTATAAAAAAAGTAACGTCGAGTGACTTATTCTTATATATTTAAGTTTTAATGGATAGAATTATTCTTATACCTGTTAGAAATAGTAACTGTTTTGGTAGAATAGTGAAGGTGTAGACAAGATGTAATTATATTACGTACAATTATCTTTTTATAAAAAGAAAAAACTATTGAGGGCCCGAAGGCTAAAGCATATACCTTTCTCTCAATTATTTGTTTGTTGTTTTGCTATTAGTTTTAGTGATCAATCTTTTGCATGATATATATTATACTTGGGCAGAATTGAGTATTTTGGCTTGACATGAAAAGGCGTAGCTATTAAAAACTCTTACCAGCAAGCTAAGGTCTCTTATATTAAATATAAGATTAATCATATATATCCATGTAAAACAAGGGTGCATTAATTGATAAGTATAAGCACCAACTTGACGTGCATGCAATTGGGTATCCATGGAAGTGGCTAAGCTAAATAAACTATAGTATAACCTTAAACGGCCGGGATGTATAGTAGAGTAAACAAAGGGGAATCTTCTCACACTTGGAACTGAAATATTATTCCTAGCTAGCTAGCTAGCTTCCAGACGGTAGTACTTAATTATTACCTTTCTCTTGTCTTCTTTCAACGGTGTGATGTTGTTTAATTTGGAATTGTAGCATCCTAAAGGACTTAACCAATATCCATATTTATTTCAAATGCCTGTGTACCAACTCCCTTTAGACGTATTAGGGTCAAAATAGTCATATGCATATTGTTTTAGCTAGGGCTCTTTACTATTATCCACGTACTTCAATTTCACTATTATTTTTGGTAGCGAGTATTTTATGATCCCTCTTAGTACCCTATTTGACACGAATACGGATTAAAAAGGCACTAAGTTTTGAGTATCAAGTATTTAAAGAAAAATAATAATGAGGTTTTCAGTGACTATTCTGGTGGCGACCCCTTTAGTCGCACCAAAAATAGTGCTATAGGTCACTTTTTATAATGACGATCTACCTAAAATTTATTTTATGGCGAAGTTTTATTTTTTATGGCAAGCTTAATCGCCCAAATCTAATAGTAAAACAATAATAACAAAGCAACATGGGCGGATGCACCTGAAAATTGTTTCAATCTTTGGCAGAAATTATTCACAAAAAATATATGCAATTAGCCGATATTGTTTTGGTGAGAAAAGTATATATAAAGAATAATCTACTTGGCTACTCCAAACAACGACATATAGCTCTACTTTTAATCTTATTCCTGTAGTTATGCTTAAACAAGATAGAATATATATCAAAAGAACACTTGCACTTCCATGATGTTTATATCAAATTAATTAATAAAATAATGAATAGATAATATTTGTTCATGATATACCTTTATTACGTATAGAGCCATGATAGTTAGAGATACTCCTCATCAATTAAACACTTAATTGTATCGGGATTTAATATAAACACTAGCTATGGATAAATTTTTTCCCAATAATAAGAGGAGATCACAAACTAAAGACAGTTTTAGAGCTCTCAAGTGGATTACTTGTAAAGGAGAGAACGTTTTCCGAACGTTGTATTTGGAAACAATTGATTAGTATATGTAAAAATTTGTCTGTAAATCAGTGTTTGTTAGCACATACTAATATTCCTACGTTGTCTTTGATAATATCACTAGCTTAAAATAACACTTAATTGGCCGTTCTCAGAGGACATTTGAATAGAGTCAATTACTTTTATAACTCTAGTGTACTTAGCAGAATTTAAAATTCACTTACAACCTAAAAAGTTTCTATCATCATACGTCATGAGTTCCTTAATCATTGTATGTGGGATATAGTGCATAATTATGGTTTGCCATAACCAAAGCATAAAATTGACTTGCTTTTTGTTGGCAATTCCACCATAAAATAAGTACTTATATAACTAGATATTATGTCACATATGTGGAGACCACTTGACTGCAGTTTGATGAAAAGGCAAATGTTGGACTTATTTGGAGTGTTGAACTTATCAATTATCAATAATCCGTCTGCATTATTCGTTTTTTCTTTTGATCACAAAAGAACAGTTTGTCATTGATGAAGGTATCAACGCCTGGTCAATTATCAGCATTGGAGAATCCTAAACCAAGGAGAAACTGACATGCTTTTACGCTAACAAATTTCTAAATAAAGGGTGCATATATATATTTCAGACAAATACCACATCAAAACAGAGAGAAAAGTGAGTGTTACATAATACAGAGCAAAGCACAAGTTCACATGGTTGCTCTTGGGCTCGATCAATGTTTTAAAATACGGGACATAAGGCGAGACGTTTTACCTCTAACGAGGCGAGGCGGAAACCCTGAGACATGGGCGTAAGTCCCACGGATCTTTAAATTTTACTAATTTCAAGAATTTTAAGATAATATAAAATAAAAAATTATAAATTAAAATCACAAAATTATAATAAATAATCGATTTAAAATATTTATAAATTACAATTCAAATATGAATAATACGAAAAATATGACATATATCATAATATGCAAATGAATTTTACCTCGTATAGCAAAGGTTAACACCGTATTTATTTTAAATAAGTACCATTTATATATATATATATATATATATATATATATATATATATATATATATATATATATATATATATATATAGCTACCTTTTAATGTTTATAGCAAAAACTCTATTTATGGTTACCTCCTACCCTTAGGCCACTATATACGCTATTTATTATTTCTCTCTCTCCTTTTTCAGATTTTTCTCTCACATAATTACCGTATTTGATGTAAACTTCTCACTCCATGTCCTATCTCTCTCTAATTTGATACACATCATTCTCTACCCCCATTGCCAGAAACCATGATTCTGCAACTCAAAATCTCTCTCACCCACATCACCTACCATTAGTCACAAACGGTGCTTTTGTCTCTTTCTCTTCTCGTATTTCTCTGTGTTTTCAATTCAATTATCCATTTACTTTCAATTCTTCGCAATCGGTGATCCCTTGTACTGTTTTGAGCCTTAAATTTCTCTTGCCATGAAATTTAAATGGATAACAGTGAGATGCCAGAAATCGAGCAACGTCTTGCCATGATTTTTGCTCGGTTACTGTACAGGATGCGTGGGAACAGTGAGATTCAGGGTTTTTGCTCGATGACGGATTCGCTGGAAATTTAGGGTTTGTTCTTGAGCAAAGACGACGGAGTTTGAGGATGAGCAACTTGAATTTCTGTTAATATATTTCAATGTATTTTCAATGTATCACGTTGTATTTTCATTTATTTCATTGTCTTTTTTTCATTGTAATTCAATGTATCTCGCGGTATTCTATGTATTTCATTGTATTCACTGTCTTTTTTTCATTGTATTTCAATGTATCCCGCTGTATTCTATGTATTTCATTGTATTCACTATCTCGCTATATGCCATGAATGTATTCATATATTTTTTTTTAATTAATATAATTTATGTATTCAGTTGTATTATATAATTTCTTTGAAGATTGCCATGTTTTTGGGGTATTTTTCGGTTGAGAATCTTTTTTATAACTGGAAATACAAAATTTATTTGTTATAATTGAGTTTGTTAAGGTATATTAGGAGTCTATTATGTTAATTGATTCACTTTCCGTTTAAAAACAGTGTAATCCCCTGTTTCACGCCGTGAATACTTGATAGTAGCCTATATTATGTGATGTAGATGCTATTTATGCTCGAAGTTAACCATACTTTATGGATATTTTAAGTTCTAAATGATAACAAAATGCTCTAATTGAGGTTTTAATGGTTTACAGGAACTACTCCGAGTTAGGAGGGGGATATAGAGTGTTTTAGAGTTAATTATATAGATACAAGGCCAATCGAGAAGAGCCCGGATGAAAACGAGCAAGAAAAGACGAAGAAAAACAGGGTAACAGTCCACCGCGACCGCGGTAGGGCCGCGGCTGGAACGCGGTGAAAGAAAAGCGGAAAACAAAATAGTCGTAAATCACTGCGGTCGTGCCGCGGTTAGACCCTGACCGTGGTCGATCTGGAGAAGGCCAAGAAGTTTAAGGGCTAAAGTGTAAAGCGTGAGAAACTTATCCTAACCCTATATAAACTCAACAAACTCGCCCAAGTCAAGGTTAAACTTGTTTTTAGACTCAATTGGAGGCAAGGACAAGTGTGAGAAGATCAAGACACCATTAGAGTTTTTCATTCTTCTTCTTGTTATCATTATTTTGTGAATTATGAATGATTTTATGGTTTTATCTTGTTTTACTATGAGTAGCTAAACATTTAATCTAGGATTGATGGAATCAATTGTTAGATCAAGTTTTGACTCAGTTTTGTTATAATCGAGCCGGGTTTATTATATGATTGTTCAACTATGTTTTGTATGGTGATTAATTGAATGGGCCCTCGATTAATCGTGTCTAATTGCCTTGTGTTGCTTGAGAAAGAATACTAGGTTAGATTGTTGTTGAACACCACCACCTTTGGGTAATTGGAGAGATTCATTATTTGAATTTAAAAGTGGGGTTAGAGATAACGAAACTTTGGTGGGATAATTCAGAGCTGCATAAATTATCAGCTAGAGTAGTTTGAGAGAATGCTCTAGTAAATTATCGTAGTTGATCGAGAGATAATTGCGGTAACTCATAGCTCATAATCCTCATAGAGTATTACGGCGAGATTATAGTAAAAGAGTTAAGAATTAAACTAGTAATTGGGGAAATCAATACCCTAGATCTTTTTACCATTGAATTATCTTTAATTTGGAATATTGTTAGTTTTAATATCATTTTACTTTAGTTAAACGAAACCCAATATTTATTGATGA